GAGTTGCGGACGCGTACTTCAGAGAGGCGCCGCGTTCGCGAGCCAAGCTTTCCCCTGTCCACTGCTTTCGCTGTCGTGGATGGGGCCCGATGTGCTTCCAGGGCCGCATCTCCCCCTCTGGGGATGTGGCAAGTGCGGGGCATTTGACAACTGGGCAAGCAGAGTCAAGTGCCGAGGATGTGGAAATTCCTGCCCCCAACGCGTGCTCGTGGCGGCCCAAGCTGCAGCCAACCGCGCCAAGGGAGGTGGAAAGGGGAGCCCAGCTGCTGCCACTGGAGGGAAGGGGCGTTGGGCCAATGGCCCGCCTGGAGGTCCAGGTGACGCCCAGGCCAAGACCATCCAAGCCATGCAGAAGCAGCTGGACGCCCTGCTCAAAGACAAGGAGAAGGACAACAAGCAGCAGGTTCAGTCCGCCCCTCCAGGCAGTGGCGGCGGCAGTGGCAACGGTGGCCCGTCCTTCAAGGAGGTTATCAACTTCCTGCAGGCAAAGGGCATCCAGGGCGAGCTGGTGGCCTCTGTCACAGCTGCGCAGCAGCGTGAAGTCGCCGAGCACCCGCCCTCCGTGGTCACGGCTCGCTGGCGGGTCGAGAACCTACGGAAGAAGAACGAGAAGTTCGAGCAGCAGCTACGCAAGCTTCAAGAGCGTCGAGCTGCCCTCGATGAGGAAGAGGCAGCCATCAAGGCCTCTGTGGAGTCGCTTCGCCGAGACCTGTCACAAGCTGAAGGTGTCTATGCCAAGGTGTCGGCCACTGACCTCGGGGACTTGGTCAAGATCACCGGGGCCGCCTTGGACGAGTCGCTCCACGAAGACGCCGAGGTCAGGGCAGCCCTGGCCGTGCTGGACAAGCGCCAGAAGGAAGCGGTGGCCGCTCGAGGTGCTCCTGCTCAGCATCCTGGCGGTCCAGGCGGCAACGCTCCTCCTGGCGGCGATGCAGCTTCAGGAGCTCGCAGTGCCGAAGGGGCGCGAGGAGGTGAAGGCATCCCAGCAGCTGATGGAGATGGAGACGACATCGACATGGAGTTGCTGGGCCAAGACGACATCGACATCGAGGCGCGTACTGAAGACCTCAGGGAGGCCGCTGAGGAGCTCAGGCAAGCTTCCCCAGGAGAAGCTCAGGATGCCGCCAAGCGCAAGTACGCCCAGGCTGCCGCAGCCTTGGGGATCAAACGTGCGCGGAGGCTTTGACGACCTCGAGCGCTTCTGGGACCACAACGTCGTGGACGTGGACTGGTCGGAGGAGATTGGCTTCGCGGTGCCGTCGCTGCTCCCGCGGCCTGTGCAGGCCCTTTCGGGGGCTTTGGCTGAGCCGACCTGGCGTCGCGGGGGCTTGGCCCAGGCCGGCGCTGGAGAAGCTCTTGACCTCCAGGCTTGGCCTGCGCTGGGGCTGCGCGTGGCTCGGCCACGACGGGGCCTCGGCCCGAAGGGCAGGGGGGCAGGGGATCCAGCCCCCGTTCGTCGAACCCCCCTGCCCGCATGCACGGGGAGTTCGAGTGCCTGCAGCGGCCCTTCGGCATCATCGGTATTGCATGCTCCTGCGGGGGCTCCCCAACTGGCCCGCTCCTCGGGGTTGGGGACACGGGCAGCTCAGAGGGCGCCCCCATCTTCGGCAGCGGGGTCGGCTTCTTCGGCTGCGACGGCTTGTTCCTTCGCGCGGCGTTAGGACGCAACAGTCGTCGCCACCTGCCCTTCCCACCCCCAGGGCACCCTTTCCACAGGAGGCGGGGGGCTCAGCGCGTGGGGAGGGGGGGCAGGATGTTTTGCTGGCGCAGCTTCCAGACGCAGAAGTTAGATTGGCTGGCAGTGTGCGTGGCCACCCTCGTCCCCAAGTGGAGCCCGATGCGGATTCGAAAATACTTCGGTTGAAATCCGACGGGAGGGCGGAAGTACCTCCCGCTCGTAATCTTCTTGCGGACGATCGTGACTCTGGTGTAGCGCGGGGATCTGCCGACTTGTGCGTTTTTGGAGCCAATGTCAACAGCTGGTCTACGGCAGACACTGTAGTGAACTGGGTCCGAGATCAAGCAGACGTCGGAGGGTCTGGGGCGGCTCCATGGGGTTTGGTCCAAAGCAAGTTCCAGGTGGTCACGCTCCAGGAGACAAGGTTGAAGTCCCCCGACAAGATCATTTCGGCCCAGAGTTGGGCCCGCAGGAATGGGTACCAGGTGTCCCTCGGGAAGGCCCTCAGCACTGGCGACGGGCCCCTGCAAAGCTCTGGAGGAGTCGGTATTTTGGTCGCTGGGGAGATTGCTTCGAGGCCCTTGGATCTTCCAGGATTGGGCAGGTTCGACGGGAGGATCGTAGGTCGGGTCATCAATGCGGGGTTCGACCAGGGCCTTGAGATCTACAGTGTCTATCTCGTCAACGACATAGGCGTGACGGGCGAGAATCTAGAGATTTTGGAAGTTTTGGGAGCGCTTCTATTGTGCAGTAAGCGTCCGTGGGTTGTGCAAGGTGATTGGAATTTCACGCCCACGGCCCTCCAGCTATCAGGTTGGATACAGCATGTGCACGGTGTGCTAGCCGCTACTGGCCAGGCAACCTGCTCGGCCTGCGCTCCTAGGACTGCCATGGGAGAAGATAATGAGGAGGAGGAGCTGACGGAGCATGACGGAGGAGGAAGGGAGCTTGACTACTTCGTCGTGTCATCGGCTATCAGTTCATGCATCAAAGATGTCCAGGCTATCCGAGGAGCGCCGTTTTTTCCCCATTGCCCTGTGCTGCTTCGGTTGGGGAACCTCTGCCAGACGGCTGTGGTCCAGCAGCAGACGCGTTTCAAGCCGTTCAGCACCGCGCTCATGGGGCCGCTGCCGCAGGAAAGGGACATCCAATGGAGCGACCCTCTAGACTCAGATTTGGACTCGCTAGCTCGGGAGTGGTTCGGGGAAGCCGAAGCTCGCCTGGTTGAAATTCATGGGATAAGTGATATGAAAGGGTACGTTGGTCGCTCCGCTGGGCCCCAGTCTCGGAAAGTTCCCTTAGCTGCGCTGCTAGAGCGAGATCACCGTCGGCGTTTTTCGAAGCAGACTGTCTGCTGGATCTCGTTCGAGGCCCTGCTCAAGAAGGCAAAAGCTATCAGTGCTGGGAACCCAGGCGCCAAGGGGAGAGCTCTTTTGGGATCCTGGAAGCTTAAGCTGTTCGACATTTTGGAGGACCTCCAGCTGACTGAAGAGGGGCCCACCAAGGCCCAGCTGCACACCATCGTTATGGCGGCATCGGGTGAAGGATCTTGGAACGACGACGTCAATGGGGCCATCTGCAAAGAGTGCACTCGTCGCCAGAGGCTGGACGCGGCTTCGCTGCTGGCAAAGTGGAAGGAATGGGCCAAGAGTGCCGTCTCTGGAGGTGGTAAAGCGGCTCATGCCTTCTCCAAGCAACAGGTCTCGAGTGTTTTTTCGCGAGGTATGTCAGATGATCCTCGGCTTCCAGTGGCTGGTCAGGCCGCAGTGCAAGAGCTCGTCGATGCGTGGCATCCGATGTGGTTTCGAGCTGGCCGCGGGCCCGCACCGAGCTCCTGGGAAGTTCCTGCCGACGAGCCTGCCCTTTCCCCGCTCAGTCTGGAGGATTTACACCGAGTTTGCAGGATGTACGGGCCCGCGGCGGGCCTAGGCTGGGATGGATTTCACCCGAGGTGGGTATAGCAGCTGCCCGAAAGTTACCAGTTTCGGCTTCTGGAGATTTTGACGCTCTTCGAGGTTGACCCTGGGGCCTTCTTGATGTTCCTGACCAATGTGGTTTTCTTGGACAAACCGACGGGAGGGGTCAGGCCGATCGGATTGCTCTGCCTTTTCATGAAGCTCTGGAGCCGTTTGAGGCAGCCGTATTGCCGCTCATGGGAAAAGTCCCACGTGTACGAGTTTTTCTGGGGCTCTGGGCCCGACACTACGTGCGAGAGGGCTGGATGGGTCCACAACTTGCTCGGGGCTCATTGTCGTAAAGCAGGTTTCGAATCAGCGTCGGCTCTCTTGGACTTGGCTAAGTTCTATGAGAATGTTAACCACGGGGACCTACTGATTGCAGCTAAACGGTTTGGCTTCCCAGTTAGGCTGGTCAAAGCTTACTGTACCATCTATGCAGGCTACCGTGTGCTTCTTTACGGGGGAGCTTCGTCGGCCGTCGTCGAATCGAACGGGGCGATCGTAGCTGGGTGCTCGGGGGCCACGACTTTCCACAAGATGTTGCAACTAGGACCGCTCTTGGAGGCCCGTGAGAGCAGGAACTTGTTGTACGTGCGCAATGTGGTGGACGACATCACTGTTCAGTGTTGCGGGCCCAAGTTTCAGGTGGCGGCCCAACTGGCTGGTGGAGTAGAGTCTCTGACCAAGAGCTTCAAGCAGCTGCAGCTTCCTGTGGCGTTTAAGAAGTGTGCCTACCTTTGCTCGAAGGAGGTTGAGGCGCACCTGTCCAAGGCCTGGTCCCTTCCCACCTCTTGCCGCACCGACACGGCGCG